TGTGCGGGATGGGGTAGCGATCTCTGGTGGTGGCGTTGTTGAGGGCGCGGTAGTCGCCACACGGCCGCCAGTCGCCGGAGGACTTCTTGGGGACCATATGTAATGGTGAAGCCCAAGGACTGGAGGATGGTCGGATGACTCCGAAGTCCAGCATGTGCTGAAATTCAGCACGGACTATTTGGAGCTTGTCCGGGGCGAGGTGTCTAGGGCGGCAGTGTGTCGGTGGCCCGCGTGTGACTATATGGTGGACGATATCTGTGGTAGCCTGGGGTAGAGTGTCCGGCGGTTTGCACAACTCCGGGAACTCGGAGAGGATCGCTTGGAACCTGTCTGTGGCGTCGGGGGCGTACAGAAGGGGGCTAATTGACGAAACAGTTGTAGGAGTCTCGCGGGTTTCACAGTTGGTGAGACGGTCGATGAGCTTATGTCCGACTGGGTCAACCATGAGGTTGAAATGTTGGAGGAAATCTATGCCGATGATGGATTGAGGAAGGTAGGCGATAATGAATACTTAGGGTAAGCTTCGGCGGTTCACTGTGAGTGAACGCTCGCCGTAGGCTTTGATGGGTGTGCGGTTCGCAGCGACCAGTTCTACGGTAGAGAGACGATGGAGGTCAGCGGGACGAGGGCGTATGACGCTGACCTTTGCGCCTGTGTCAACCAGGAAGCGTATCCCGGTGCGTCGGTCGGTGATGAAAAACAGGCGACTTGGTTGTGGCGAGCCGGACACGGTCGTCGCCTGGGCCGGTCGGCTAACTAACCAACCTGGGGGTGTAAGCGCACGGTGTGAGACACCTCGGCATCACCGTAGCTGCGGTGATACTAGCAAATCCCGTTCGACGGTGATCAAGATCGTGGGTGCCGGGGGCTGTGGCTCCTATGGTTGGAGCGCGTGCTGCGGCGTTACCGTGAGCCTTCGCGAGACAGAGTCAACGCCTGCACTTGTGCAACTAACGCCTTAACGCAGGCAACTAATTCGGCGTGGAGGGCGGCGGTGGGGCTGGTTGTTTGTGGGATTGGATCGACAGCTGATGAGCGTATACCCTGTCGGCCATCTCGGCGAGTTCCGTAAGCGTATACCGCTGGCCAAAATACTGCAATATGGATGACAAACTCTTTGGTGGAGCTTGTAATCAGGACTTGGCTAGCTGATTGGTCACCCGGGCTAGCTTAAACTGTGCCTCCACTTGGGCCAGCCAGAACTCGGGATCCTCGGGTATAAATTCCGGTAACCGGGCTTACAGGCCCAATACGCTCGATTCGTCTGTTGCCGCGGTGGCGCTATGCTCTTTCCCTTCAGAATATTCGCTAAACATAATAACGCATGTGTGAACCCGGAAAAAAATGAACAATCTAATTGAGAGGAAAATGCACGAACAACAGTGGAGATCAGGGTACTGGTACGATATAACCGGATGAGTAAAATGTTGTCTTGCTCTAGAAACAGTGTCGAAATGCAAAATACCAGAATGCGTAGAAATCCGAACGCGAAAATTAGCCTAGCGGAAAATGGATAAAAAAAATACAGTAAAACCGTTAAAAATAAATGAAATAAATAACACCGGTATATGTCGAATACGAAAAATACAAATAAGAATGGTTGTGTGTGGGCACCAGACTCACCGCAAACATGCAGACTGTGGCATGCTAAAAAGAAACTGGGTAACTGAACTCGGGTTCACTAATTTAGCACACTAATTAGGGCCGAATTTGCCATTGGATTGCGGATGTCGGGGTGGAGTGAGGATATGTCGACAACTCAAGGAGTTCAACCAATCGGTACATTTCTTGGCAGTAAAATGACTTCCATTGTCAGTCACGATAGTTTAGCACACTAATTAGGGCCGAAGTTGACACGCGTCTACGAATCCAACCAATCGGGCTTATCGAACGATTCCCAGAGCAAGCGCGGATTGAGAAGGAAGTCGGGTACGAGCGTATGCAGTATAATGTGACCTGCAGCGGAAAGTGTACAGAGAGCCAAGAGCACGATACAACTCACCGGAAATTGTGTCAGGTTCGAGGTCATATGTGTTCTCGAAACGGAGGGCAATAAAACAAAATGGGGTCTTTACATGAGTCGGGGAAATGATGTTAGAAAGGGAAAGTAATGTTACTTACTACAATAGCATGCGGGAAACCTTCTCTACTGAACGTTTTCCCGGGTGCTCGAATAGTAAATTCTGAACTAGAAGTTTTGGTAAAGTACACTTCTGACCAACGGGAATCGGAATCGACGATCACCAATGCGTAATACTTGTTGAAGAATGAACCACAGTAATTCACATGTATTCTTTGCCATGACTCGGAAGATACTGGCCACGGAGTCCATTTCGAAGGCTATCTATGAGTTTTGTGCTCAAAATGAGCACAGGATTTTGCAACACGATTCAGAGCATGATTCAATTCAGGCCATCAGCATGTGAGACGAGCAAGAGATTTCGTCTTTTCAATGCCAGGATGATCGGAATGTAAGTCATTGAGATCAGCAGTACGTAATGTCGGAGGTACGACAATGCGATCATTGCAGTACAAGACACCATCACACATCACAGAAATTTCCTCACGACGTTTACAGAACTCCGGAAATGAACGCGTGATAGATAGTCTGCATGTGGAATGGACTGCGCGCTGCAATGATGGATGTCGTAGGAATAAGCAGACAACGCAATACTCCATCGTTGTACCATGGCTGCAGATGACTTAGCCAAGGAACGTTGAGGGTTGTAAATGAACTGCAGGGGTTCATGATCACTCGCAATAGTGAAATAAGTACCATAAAGATAATTGTGCATTCGCGTGAAAGCCAAATAGATAGCTAGAGCTTCTCGTTGAGTTTGGGAATACCCACGTTCGGCAGCCGTGAGTCTGCGTGAGATGCACAGCACCGGATGACCATTCTGCTCCAACACAGCTTCATTTCCAACGGGCGATGAATCCGTGATGACGGTAGAATGTAATCGTGGGGAAAAAGGACGTAAAACAGCACTGGTAGATAAAAAAGAAAGTAAATTCCTCAAGGCACGTTCGTGGACCGAAGTCCACCGAAATGTNGTTCGGCAGCCGTGAGTCTGCGTGAGATGCACAGCACCGGATGACCATTCTGCTCCAACACAGCTCCATTTCCAACGGGCGATGAATCCGTGATGACGGTAGAATGTAATCGTGGGGAAAAAGGACGTAAAACAGCACTGGTAGATAAAAAGGAAAGCAACTTCCTCAAGGCACGTTCATGGACCGAAGTCCACTGCAATGTTTGCTGTGACTGTGAATCGAACAATGGAGCCACTTGGGTTGAAAAGTTAGGAATAAACTTGGAATAGTATTGTAAAGAACCAATTAAAAAACGAAGTTCATGGAATTATTTCGGAGATGAGGCATTAGTCAACGAAGAACATAGATTAGGGTCAGGACGGGACCCGGATTCGTCAACTAAATAACCTAAGCAAGAAAGTTTAGTCGTAGCTTGGACACATTTATTAGGGTTAATAGAAACATGAGAACGAAATCTTTCAAGCAAAGCACACAAGCGTTCGTCATGCAAGTGTCTACTAAACGCATGGACAATAATATCGTCCTGATAGGCACATACACCTTGTAAGCAGGAAATAATAGTAGTTTAAAAAATAGCGGGGAAGATACTGAGTCCAAAAGGTAGAAAATCGTTGCGAAATAAACCAAAAGGTGTGTTAATAATCGTGAGTTCACGAGGCTGTTCATCAAGAGGAATTTGAAGAAGTGCATCTTTTAAGTCTAGACTAGAGAAAAATTTGGATCCATGAAGTTGGTGCAGAATGTCTTCTGGTTCGACGGTGGCACAACTGGACTGTTTCAGCTGTCCGTTCACGGTAACTCGATAATCCCTACATATCCTAGGAGTCTTACCGTCACGTTTTGGTGGAGTAACAATTGGCGTGGCCCAAGCCGAAGAATTTACGGGCGTCAGAACTCCCTTGCTTACCATTTCATCTAAAGCCTTTTTTACGGGCTCACGAAGTCCAAATCGGATAATTCGACGTTTCATAAACACCGGAGAGCTGGTCACTTCGAGAATCACAAGAGTCATTTTAATACCACCCTTTGCCTTGGAACATTTAAGTATTAAGTGACTAAGGCGTGATTGATGGGAGTCAGACATAAACGAAAATGACAGACGTATACGATTCACACAATTCAAACCAATTATAGAAATACAGGAATCAATGACCAAAAACGGGCAATGAAATGTTTGTGATTTATCGTCTTTAAGAAGCAGTTCGCATGATCCTAAGACGGACAAAATAAGACCGGTAATTCGCTTGACTGAAATGTCTGTTGGGGAAAGTGCAACTGGGGGGTTTAACTGACGAAATACCTTGTTGGAAAAGAAGGAATCAACACTGCCGGTGTCGATAATGAATTTATGGCGAATGGAGTCATTAATGATGAAGTTGCGAGTAATGTGACGAGGGGGACGAGAACTGGTACTGGTTAGAGTTAAGGACTGTAAATCACACAATGAATCTTTGGAGGAATGAACAGGCGTAGGTTTTGTTAGATGCGACTTCGCACTTTTACAGACAGATTGGATATAGTCAAGCTTACCGCAATTGTGGCGCTTGGCATTACGAAATCTACAGGTTAACCGCGAGTGTCTTTGACCACAGGAATTGCACTTGTTCCATCGTTAAATCCGTTGGTCATTGTGGGCTGGAGAACTGATGTTGCTTGGTGTCTTCGAGCCCTTTTCAAAAAATCGTTTTTGTCGGGATGGTGACTGTTTGGAATTGCTGGTTTGGACAATTTGGGTTCATCACAATAATGGCACGAACGTCTTGGTACTGTTCACAGACTGTTGTAGCCAACTGAAATGTGCAATCGTGCATGAGAAGGAGCTTCTGCTTCAATTCCGGGCAATTAATACCAGCAATTAATCGATCACGTAGCTGGATTTGCAATTGGTTTCCGAAATTGCAACAAGATGCTTGAGTCTGAAGTTGAAGAATAAAGTCATGTACAGGTTAGCTTCCACCACGTGTGAGTGAATGAAATTTGGCTCGTTCAGTGCCTTCGAAATTAGCCGGCTGTAGATGCTTCAGCAGCAAGGTTTTCAGGGATTCATACGACAACGATATAGGAGAGTCAGAAAATGCCAAATTCGTCAACAACGAGTGTGCATTCTTTCCGATGACCGTTAGGAAACAAGCCATTTTGCGTTCTCCATCGAGTCCTTTCCGCATAATACACCAAATCTTGAATCGTTCAAGATAGTCTTCGACTTCGCGCGCACTGGCATGTATATTCAAGTTCTCCAAATTACAGGATTCCGTTGGTTCAAAATGACCGCGACGCCAGTTGTTGTGGTTCGCACTCGGATTAATAATTCGTACACGCATCGGATTCCGCGCAGTAATAGTCCAACCCAGAACTAGGACCCGAAATGAAATCAGAAGACAGAACTCAGGGACGGAATGAAACTGTATTGAGCGGAAAATAGGAATTTACAAGGATATCGTGTTCAATAAAACAAAAGAGTTCATAGTTCATGAGCAATCACCACATTTAGATTCAGGGTGTTTCGGCAGTCACCACATAGTCTAGGGGTCTTGCCATTCTACTTGATTGATGTAGCTGTTGGTGTACTCCATACTGACGACGGCGCTTTCTCTACAACACCTTTGGAACACAAGTTGGTCAGTGCATTCCTCACAGGTTAATTGAGACTATATATAATCACTCGGCGTTGGATAAAACTGGATAGTCATTAACTGGTAGTTTCATTGGGGGGAATCTTCATGCCATCACTGGCCTTTGAGCATTAAATAATCGAATCTTACAGTTCATTTTCAGTGTCAATAAAGGTTAACAAGGAAGGATTGATATTTAGTGCTTGCATAGCCTCTAAGCCTAGTATGGAGGGTCCAGATGTGATTACGATGAATATACAGGTGTCACTGTGAGAATGTTCATCACTGACTGAAATCTCATAAGAACTAACAACAGGCATTGAGTGTCCTGCGATGCCATTTATGGTGACATGGAGCGTAACGGAATCGACTTTCGTGTCTGTAATGCACAATCGCCATATGACTTCTCCGAATAAGTTATATTATGTGAGTAAGATTATGTAGCTAGTTTGAGACTCAAGTTTCACTCTCATTAGAAATCTTCAAAAGTAATTATCCACCATACCGTCCAGGATTTGAACCTCAGACCCAGCACATGGAAGGCGTGTAAGTTCCCAGGAAGCACGAGTACCCCCTTGAGCGCACCAATGGGGTGCCCATGGGAGTCCCCTAGGCATCCACTTCCGGCATCCATTTTGACACTCAAGGGGACACTCAGGGGGACACTAGAAAAACGGACCACCATCAACCGCCACTTTTAAACCCCATTTCATTATGCTTCTTATACCCAATAGCCGTTGCACCTTATTACTGTGTTACCTTTTTTCATATGGTAACCACTGCTAAGCTGTTCCTCCACCCAGCCTATACGTCACAACCCAAAAGGCAATCCAACTTTAACAGTTTTGCAATCCAATGACCCCATTTACATATCGGATTGAAATAAAACAATATTTCGTGGTAAATGAAAAAAATATTGAACAGGAACTTAATCATACAGCTGTCGTCAATCCTCGTCAAACGGGTCCATGTTTTCTTTATCGTCATCCATAATGAGAATTGGACACTATCGTTATAGGCCATGGTAAACGGTTAATGTAAGTGCACAATGAAGAAATATTTTTAAACGATGCTCACCTCCGGTTGCAAAGCCACCAAGAGTACTTCCCAGGACCTCAAGCTTTGCCCTAGGTCTTGATCACTGTATCCATCGCTTTATTCGCGATATCACAGATCATAATGTCTCGTGATAATGTTTTCGCAATACAGCCTCCATAAAATGCAATTATAACATGTACGCAAATCGTGTTAACTTAGCGATGATCTGCGTGTATATTTTTGTGTCCGCAATTGGCAGTTTGCCACTGACACCACGCCAGTTTATCTCAACAAGGTATTCGGAGATTGATGTTTTCAAAATAGCCCTCGTACAATCGGCTGATTAAAAACCTCCGATTTTGAAACATTGTAATTCGTTTATGAAATTCAACGAAATTCGTCAACTTACCACGTTCCCGTATGTTGTCTCGTCTTTTAGCATTTGTTAAAGACATTGATAATCATCTACAGACTTTATAGGAACGTCTGCCGCACCGCCATTGTGTGGCTAGGTCCGTAGATTGACTTTGTAGTTCGGCAAATCTTTTGTCCACTTTGCTGAATCCATCAGTAAACTGTGTGACAAGCTTTTCTTTACATGCTAAGAAATTTATTTTTTTGGGATCACTCCCCTTACGTAACATCGACTTAAAGTTCTCTTTGAGCACGGCAATATAATCGCACACTGTTGTCAGGCACTGCGCTATGTTTTCCAATTCCGCAGATAACTTCTCTGCGTTTGGCTGGAAACGAAATACTTATAAGTGCCACCTTACCTGCCCTTGGGTGTTGACATAGATATTTGTGTGCAACACGCAAATGATGTCGACGGTGATTGGAAGTTGAAAGTAAATGTAACTATTGTTGTGCACACTTCAAATCTTGTGAACTGAACTGCTTGGTTACAAGCTGTTCTTTTTCTGTGATCTCCGTGTGTGGGGAGATCTCAGGTGGTGGTGGAGTGATATCTGTATCTACCAGGGACTTTGATTTTCTTGGTGGTTCATCAGAATCACTTGAATCTGAGAAGAAACATTTTTTCATTCTGAAAACAACGTTCATGTTAAACATCAGACGTACCGTTGTCTTTTTTGATTTCTGCATGCCAACTGTAGCATCTGTAGACGGTAGCTTACTTTGCTCTTCCAAAATAGCTTGTAAACGACAAGCCTCGGAGTATGTTTCTGAATACTAGCTGACTGCACAACTGGACTTACCGACAATTTTATAAATCCGAACATCGTACAGTTTTCAGTTGGGCGGCGGTGGAAGTATTTCCGTGAGCATTCTCTCGACTTTAGTTGTTGAGGTTCTCACCCAGTGAACCTTATTACCGCCTTCAACACATGGATGTAGCACAACGGCAACGGAATTGTCCATCCGAAATTCCGCAACGACGAATATCTATGTGAGAAGAGAAAAGAATAATCGTACTTTAAGCAGGAATAACAGGATCATAAACATTTGATTTTACCTTTAAAGCCTCCAGGTATGGATCAAAGGGATGAACACCCATTCGTCTTCATCCGGGAGCAGAATATCCTTACACGGGATGTCGTTGATGTCAACATTCTGAGAATAGTTTTGCACACTGCTGCACCGAAAAATTTGTATGTGCGAAGACGGACTCGGTTTCACGTATAAGTCATCAACATTCAGGGATGACAAAAGCAAGATGTTTTCACCACTTATCTGTTTCATGACTGACGGACGGTTGTTAACCAAAACTGCATTATCAGGGCACTTATCCGTGTAGACAATACCATTAATAACAATTTTGTTAACACACCGTGGTAAACTTCTAATCCACTGGCTTCGGGTATCATCCATCAGTTGTATTGCGTAATGCAACGTTGCATCTGCATCTCGCTCAGACGTTCTACGGAGATCCTGTTGAGCGACTGCTTTTTTGGAGATAATTGTTCGTTGTATGATTCGCATAAGTGCTTCGTAGGTGAACGCTGAAAACATATCCAGCGGTCCAAATTATGTAACATTCATGGGTAGATGAAGCCAAGAATGAACGTTGAAAATGACTTCCTGTTCACCATAAATACGTATGTAGTTTTCCACCACAACCCGTGCGTTGCGTTCGAGGAAGTCCACGTAATAACGGCACTACTTTGGACAACACATCAAATACGTGAACGTCGAGAAGTAAATGAAATTTTGATACATCTCCTCAGGCAGTATTCCTCGTAGCACCAAGGTAAAGCAGGAACTGTCTAAATTCCGTGGCTTTCCACATTTCGTAATGGTCGGCAAATGCGTTTGAATTCAAATGAAATGTGACTTCCAGTAGCCACCATACGTTCATTCACAATCCGAAGCAGCGGTCCTGAAATAGGACTCCATAAGGCTGCATTTCCACGTCTCCAAAGAGTTATCAACTTTTTCATCAGCTCAAGACAAACAGCATGCACACAGTCAACCGGAAACTGATTATTAATATCAATATTCAAACACTCAAATGGTGAAACACCCACGTGGTGCTTCTCCTGTCTTCTCGAAAGGAAATCGGAGTCTGACCTCTTACGCCATTTTGCTTATGGGAAATACAGTCGTCTATTTTCAACTACTCCCTGGATTTACAGTGACAACAGCTGTAATAACCACTTTGCTGCTTGATTTGCTTGATGTAACTCTTAGCCGGGGCATCAGCGATTATATTATGCAGATTCACCTTGACAAATTTTTCGTTTATTCGTAAACGTATACCCTTGGATGTCCGTGTGCCCAACTCACCAATCGTGTCCGAGAGGTATTCATGTACGTCTCCGGGCTTGGACATACCACAGAACAATCCAACAAGGAAAACACGAGATAAAGGTTTTACAGTGCTTCCCAATATTTACCACAATTGAACGGTCGAGTTCCTGAATGGAGATAAACCATCAACGTGTAGCTGCAGGGTAATAAATTCAATTTCAGATAAATCTATGATATCCATAGCAAGCTGGATGCACCCCTCCAGGCTCAAGTTTAGGTAGCTGCCACCTGTGATTTTACTCATTGGTGTTTCACGTGGAGTACCCATCAATGTCCGCGGATCCTCAGGGACATCAACTTTCAACAACCGCATACCCTTTAGCAAAATTGTGATGCTCTTCGGTGACATTTCAGCTTCTATTGCTATCTGCCTCGCGACAGACCGAGCTGATACTTGAACTCCTTGTTTGTTCTCAGTGTCTGCATAATCATTTTGAATGTCTACAAAATAAGTGCCATTTATCGAAACCGATTACCTTCAAACATTTGCAAACAGCAATTTATCCTCTCACTAACGGATTTTCCAAGCTGGCTTGGCGACACAAAACTGGATGAGGGAAGTGGGGCACTAGTAATAAATCGTTCAGGCTCAGTAACTTACTTAGTCACAGCCGACGGAGTGGATAGTTCAGACACTGTGTTCTCCTTCGGTGTACTTGAAGTATTGATGCAGTAAACATTAATTAAGTTGGGGACTACATCGGGTGAACTACTGGGGTAGTCTGAACCAAATTCAATGCAAAATCCAGTTACGTGAGCTCACATTTACTTGGAAACTGCAGACCTGTTTGTAGTCTAGTTATATCAGAAAACAATCACCTTTAAAGATCGCGTTTTCGTCTCCAATGTGTAGTTCTTGAGGAACCACGAAATTTACCGGAAAACGATGCCATGTTTACAATACGCAGGGATGCTAGATGACACAAATAAATTATCGTGTTAAATTTCCAGTGTCCATTAGATGATAGATTGACTAAAGTCTTATGATAAACCCAGTAAACGTGTACAGGACTCACCGTACAGATAGAGCGTTCATCCAGACAGCGCGCACTAGGAAATTTGGTTGAGTTTCTCATGCACTAAAACAAATTCAACTCCAAAAATAGTTAAATACGGTTACCCAAAGAGCTTGGACAATATATTTAGTGACAAATGTTAATAAATCGTCACAATATGAAATAATTAGGCATTAATACACACTGAGAGGTGATCAAATTTCTAAAAAGTAACCTTACAGTTCTGGCATCAAATTTCGGACTCCGTTCGGGTTGCAAGATGGAATGCAGGGATTCAAATGGCTATTCTGAATAATCTAATGCCTTTTAAAAAAACCAACGTTTCGGGAGGATTCACGGCATTTTAAGTGAGTATCCCCTAGGGGACACTCAAAGGATGGCTGAGTGTCCCCTTGTGCTGCCAGGGATTACCACTGTGCTAACCAGCCCGCATCATGACTGGACCGAATTGCCAATTCATGTTTTCTTCAGATGTCGTCTTTAGTGATAGTCAGTCAGTTCATTTGGCCCAACAGCAGCGAAGGGAGACACAGTCGAAAGCCTTCTACGAAGACAGGACTTCCATGCAGGTTACGGGCTGACTTGCCTTAAACATGCCATCCTAGAACGATTATTCACACTTAAATGACAGCTACTTTTGAATACTGATGTGGGATAATTAGAATTGATTGGTTGAGCTGGTTGGTACAGTGGTAACGCACACGCCTTACACGCGATGGGTTCGTAGTTCAAATCCCGGACGAAGCGCTAGATATTTACTATTGATGAGCTCAAACAAGAGCGAAATTCTAGTCTGGTGCTTCCAAATGTATGGTTGAGTCGACTAACTGAGGATGGATAAAACTGATAAACTCTTTTTGCATCTCGTACAGTTAAACACCAGACGCAAGCACCTGCATATGCATCACACGACTACAAACACAAGTGCGTTCCTTTGGTAACAAACCCCAGTCTGGCATATATTCCACACAAGCCTCATATTGGAATTCTTGCTATACACTATTCATTTTGTAGCCCCCTAATGTGGTTTAAAGGCGAGAAAGTTATGCAAAAGAGGAAAAGATTCACCTATAAGAAAAATAGATCCTAGCACAATATGCACCTTACAAAAAACAGAAACCCAGCTCTTATCTAAAACTTCTAGCTGTTCAAAAGAACTGAAAAATGAGGAAATTTGGGAACGTGTATTTTAGTGCATAAAAGCTATTCACTTACAGTGTCAGAAGCCAACGAAACTACCAACAACACAAAGAACTAGAAACGCCATTGCTATGAGCCACAATTCAATCTGTGAGAAATGAACCCGAAATGAACTGGCACCTAATATTGCATGTAAAATGTTTACTCAATTCAGACCTTCTGTAATCATGTCCTTAACACAGCGTTCGCTCACAAGTAACGACTTAAATCATGTTAATTTTTATACGTTATTGATATCACGAATAAATAAGTAATTTTTATATAAATTTTTACCAAAATTCATTACATTTTCTAATTCCCATTTTCCGTAAATACTTATACTACTTGTGAACACAATATTTTTCATTGTGAAATTCATCTTACGAATAGGATTGTGTACTCTCTACTCACAGGCCTGCACACATAGCCCTTAACGAATCCGTAAATATGAACAAACGTTCCGTTCTTTGATCATATCCTATTGGCTACCCAAGAAAACTCAGTTCGTTTGAATGGAGATTTGGCTCGCTGAAGTTGACTCGCTTGGGTGCAGGGTGGCGATGATTGTCAATTTCTGTCAAGACTCTTCCTTTGTTGTGACTTTTGAGATCTGTCTAATGCAACTCTTGGTTGTTGGTGGCTGCTCGCTCTGAAATGATGGTTGATGTTTTTAAATACACACTTCTGATTATCTGGTTAATAGTAATTTGGTATGGCGGAAAATCGTGGAATCAGCTAGTTTAACAGTCTCCCTCCACGTGCCTACCTAAATTGATTGAACTTAACGCATAACTGCTACTGACATTCCGCAAGCGATTCCGTTATTATTTCTACGACAAGCCAGTCTTGTCAACCCACGTAAACATAACAGAAGGCCGAAAATGAGAAACCGAAGAAACCGGGGTTATTTGAGCGCCATATACGGTGACGTCGAACGAAATATGCGGAAGTGTATGAAAACAACTCGCGTCAACTTTCAGTTAAACAAGAACGCGGCCCAAATTAACAGTGACAACGTGGTCGCTGAATATCACAGGTGATTCTGCCAAATTTGGATCCACTTGGATGCGCGTTTCTTACTGAATCACTTTGGAGTTCTACACCCGCATACCTCAATGTTTCCGAAGACAAAGTCTTCCTAATAATTGTGACAAAAATGCTATAGTTAGCTTACAATCCATTGGATTCTGTTTTCCAATGTGTCCTTTATGCAGTTAACCTCGTCATCATAATTACAATCACCTAAAGGCTCATGAGATTAGTGAAAAAACGATAAATCTATTGTCAAACCTAGCTGCTTTTTTGATTTGAGTATGAATTCTGCGCCATCACCTAAGAAATGGCAATGTGGCAGTTGCTTCACCGAATAACCGAGTATTTTACGTTGTAGTTTGAAAGCCAAATAAAGATAACTCTCAAATTAACAAATGAGCCGGACAGTCGGGTATATTTTATTGTGCAATATGCAGTCGATTACAGTCAACGATAATCTAGCTTACATCAGCCACAACAAGGATGGCGAGATATCATATATTCACAATCAACAACGCAATCTGTGAAGAGAACGTGAACGGTTTGCCTTTATAATCCCACATTAGGCCACCTTGAACCTCACAATTCACAACAATCAAGCTCATTTTTTATATTCCTTGGATTAAGTGGATGGCCGTATACTTTCAGGTTGATTAATTCATCGAGAACAAAGAAATTAAATTGCTTGTTCCTTACTATTATGCCAAACTGTCGGTCTAAAAGAATATTGTATTGAATATTGTTAGCATTTATATATTTTTTCCACGAATGGTGCTCCGTGTTCTCAGCTGTTCCACTTACATTAATGAATGGTATTTGCATACTACCAGGAAAGCCTAAGGACACTAATTGTATTCTGTAAGTTGTCACGGTATTGGTTTCAAGTTATGAAACTCAAACGGGATAAGATCATACCCTAGGTTGGGAAGATGCTAATGCAACCAGTTTATAAATTTCTAGGCACAATGTTTGCCACTCACCAAATACGTTGAAGTATTTCATTTACTGAAATTATGTAAGGTTTCGTTTTGTTTCGTGAAAACGCCAAAAATGAATACGTATTTATTACAATTTACCGATAACTTTTCAAAACTTCATCTTGAACAGTTGTCCAAACAAAAAAGAACCTCGCCAGTATTTAAGCATAAAAACACTTGAATGCATTTTACTTTGATGTTCGAAGTGGAACAATAAACTCAATGACGAGAAGTCAGGAGTAATGAAATGTATAAGCTTTCGTTAAGTAAAGCTGCGAAAACGTACAAGCTGATTACTGAATTTCAGTTACAATAGCGAGTAGCAGACCTCATCTGTCGAGCGGGGTGTTTTACTGAATCATGAGGACTTCAAACTGTTGGAGATGAGGTCAGAAATAGGGATTGAAATCCATTCCTGGATAGCCACCACCGTACATTCCGTAACGACCGGATCTGTATGGTGAAAATTGCTGTGATCCACAAGGTGAATAAGATGAGCCCCAGGGTGATCCAAATCGTGGAGGTCTGCACCTGCGACACATTGATCCGTGATCCATTCCATAAGAATCTGGTTGGTACGGTTGTGGATAACCTCCCATCCAACCATAACCCCCATAACCACCAAAGCGTTTTCCAACGGCCAACTTGTCGGCACTCTCTTTTGCATCGGCCGCGTTTGATTCTGCCTTCACATTAGTATTGATGTTCGCATTTTCAGCTGCCAAACTATTTGGAAATACCAATGCGTATTGCACAATTACTACTAGAAATAAGTACCGACAGAATAACATGCGGTCGGTGATCCTGTATATTCGTCTATGACGGTCACAAAGCCGTAGATTACTTACACTGATCCATGCATGTTTATATATGAGTGTATGAGTATGAGCATTACGAACCATCACAAGTTCGTTTTTATGGGTATTCTTTCTCAGTTAATGATGAGTGGTGCTTGTTGCAATCTTCTACAACGTCGTGCAACTAAGAGTTCCCACAATTCTCCACTTATCCTGGTAAGAAATGTATACAGAAAACGATTTCTCCAATCGAGCCATGAGGACAGGATTTCGTGAGATGAACCCATTATGGTTAAAATACGGGCAAACATGATGAATGTGGTACGGAAGCCTCATAAACACAAGTGACGAATTTCGATGGAATAATCTGTAGTTTTAAGGAGACAAATCAAGTGCACTTCAAATCAGGTTCTTCACGGTCATCGGCACAAATTGAACTGGTTTCTTTGCATGTTGTTTGTTAATCAGAATGTGTTGGCTAATATTTTTTGTGAACAAAATCACTGTTTTTTTGTCTCCTGGTAATTTATGTTCCTGGTTGTTCTCAGTTAAGAGTTCTTATGCATTTTCAGAGCCGTATAAAATGTAAGCTGATGGACTAAATTTCTAACCCTTAGTGTCAGCAAGGGAGGCGGGAATTTTTAATTTCTTGCAATAGACATGTATTTACATTCAGTGATTATCTGTGAAGTGTTCGCTCTAGAGAGCTGATTGTTCGAAAATGGTAGTCAACAAAAAATGAAAAGACTTCTAACCTCCTTCCATTGAGAACTTTTTGTTTGAACTAGAGGATACCTACTGTCAGTTGATTTAAGTGGTTCGTAGGTTGATTTTCGAATGATGCGACTGAAAATTAATAAACTGTTTGTATTCGATCGCTAAAAAACGATATATGAGATGTAATAAAACTCTCAATATGGTTGTTGTTGTAGACTAAAACGATTTTTGAACTAGATATAGGCTTGCTTTTAGACGAAGGATACGTCGATGATCACGACCAGTATGCCATTTTTAGTGGAACTAGATTAAAATTGATTACAAGTATACTACTGAAGGCCTAAGTAATTAATTTTTATTTCTCAAGGCGCTGCCACGTTCATATTGTTCGATTTTATTGAGAATACGGCGATAGAGTTGGGTTGTTCTCCCGTTTCGATTCAGTTATATTGTAAGTTGTGATGTCACAGGTTTATTCGTGAAGTGCGTTCTTTTGCAGTCAGGTATAGACTACTGTGTGCTATCTGATGTCCCGTAATTGAGGAACTTTATCTTCCAAAAACAAGTTTATCTTCCATTGAAGTCATCATTTTTATAAATACTGCGTAACCTAGTCTAGTCAGTCAAACACTGGAGACCTTCCGGATTCGTGTACTTCTTTTATTGGAGCTCGTTCATCGTAAACGTTCCCATAATCATCCTGTGCGTGAAATTTGAGCCCATCCCACGGAAAGGCATCTTGGTTACCACTATGTCAACCATCTGACATCGGGGCTGACTTGAATATGAGGTTATGTAGGAGCTAATTCGTAGTTGGTAATATATTTTGAATTTTAATATTCCAGTCTCGTGTTTGTTCAGGTTCTTATTCACAAACCTGTCTCGCGCAGTTGAAAGTATGTTGATACACTATATATTACAGAAAGCGCTAGCAAACTAAACAAAAGAAATGTAAAACGGTTTTCCGTAGGTAATGTTATTTTTACAAGAATGTTTATGCCAATTCATGTGTGAAGATTATCCGCATACTTGTTTGAGGAGCACAAAAATTGAATCTGGAGTTGTTCATGTCCATAGAATCACAGTTCGCTTGAGATAATTCTACAAGTCGATTATTCATCTGTAGTGTGCACTGTTGGAAGAATGTAATACACTGAAGGTTTGTTTTGCTGCAAGCAGGTACAGTGCTCCTTCTCGGTGAAAATTGGTACGAAGGTTTGACGCATTTCAATGTCCCACGGGGAGATTAATTCTACTCATTTTTTATAGTCCAAAGGAATTTTTAAATTTACCGTAGATGATGTACTTTGTCGTTTCATCGTTCTCTCTGGAAAAAATATGTTGAATTACCACTTTAGTTTTATTTATTGCTATCATAAAAATATGCGGGCATTATTATCCGATTACGGGATTATACGCAGAGCTACCTGGTGGTTTGTTTCCTCTGAAAATGTGTTGGGTACGGTGCATCTGGGTGTTTTTGTTTATCGACCGATTTAGCCAATAAATTAAGTTTAATCCACACCCATTACGAACCTCCTGGTATTGGCTTTCTTTATCCGCGATGAATCTTCCTTCTCTCCAGTCATTAAGAATGCCAGCCGCAGAAACTTGTGTCTGACAATACATCGTTTATTCAGGTTTCCGTGGTGTTTTACGCCACATTAGTGCACTCAAAATTCTGAATTGACATTAAATAACTTTCTCCAGTCTATTAAGATCTTGTGTGCATGGTCAGACGTTGTCACCCGCAACGTGTTAAGAACGCTTTGATTATGAAAGTATTATGCCGTCTACAGAAAGACCCATGGCATTTAACAGCTACCGTCAATAAATGGAGTGTAGCACGCTACCGATAGTATCTGTGCAACGGGATACACATGGAAGTTCTGGCCATCAACTCGACTTAGGCTAGCAAACTTTTACGAGGTTTACGACGATTTTGAAATTACTCGTATGCCAACTTTTGGAATCATTCTTATTCTCCATCGTTCTGATCACTCTTCATATAGTCTCGTAGTGCTCTTCTGATAATCCTTTCCCGAAATCTCTCGCTTTCTTTTGGGAACTCGCAATTGGAGTAAACTATTCCAAGTGCAGTAAGACTCCGTCAGCTGTCCTTTTAACAAAGGCGTTTTCCTGGAAACCTGATTGCGGTTGTTGTTGTTGTTATTGTTGTTGAACCAAACCTTTTATCCTTCTGTACTGGATGACACAATTCACGTCTAAGTATGAAATTTTTTTAATAAATTTCTGTAGCTGAAACATCAAAGTTTGAACGTTATCCACAGTTCGATCGGCATACAATCACAAAACTAAGCATGAGATTCTCACAAAATGTTTATATAAAAAGGACCAGGCGCTATATCTGTGTTTTCAGTGAGACAGCCATCCGTGGGACGGCAGATGACTGAGCAGAATACGGTAATCACGAAATCAAATAACCAACGCAATTCATTCTTTTCTTCAAGCCACTGAGGGATTTTAGTAAGCTTAAATAGCTGTCTTGAGTAGCTTGCCAACACAGAAATTTATCGCCAAGTAAGTAAGACCAAGTTTGCAGAGCGCGTTGAATTTTCGATAAAGTTTCCCGTTGGAATAATACTCCAATTCCACTGAAACAACATCCAGCCTTCGATAAATGAAACTGCTTCCCGTTAAATTGCTCCTATTTATTGAACTACGTACGTCATTCACGTATTTGCGTTCATTTTTGCTGCTTTAAAACTAAAAGATATACGAATTACATGAACCAGGATCAAACTGAACATTTGAACACTAATTTTTTTATTGTTTATTCTTAAACTCTCTTGTAATATTTCATATTTGATTTGTGTTCAATCAGGTTAGCCATTTAGACACAAGGACTCAGTAACCAAACTTTCTTTAGGTAACATGAACTACTGATAAAGAATCATCGGTTGCGATGTGATATTCCTTTTTCACGATTAGAGAATGTGCAATGTACTGTTTCTTTTGAGATACTTCACATTCTATAATAGTGCTACTCATATTCGTTTCTACCTTCTAAACATTTGGCTCAACTGTGATGGCACCGTATTCCAAACATTCCAGTTTAATTGAATAAGAAAACATGTAAGGTAATCAATATTTGATTATTCATATGATAAAAATCAACAATTTCTTCAAGTGTGAGTGCCTCGAGAGAAAATATGTGGCTTTCCGCTTCATTCGTAGTACGGAAGTAAATAAAATGTTCAAATCCTATCATCAACATGTACAGGCACCAACTCGAAGTATTTGTCAACAACTGTCCACGCTGGATCT